ATTTGCAGCCTATATGGTGAACACAAATTACGTTGGCATATATCAGATATGCAAGCGGATAGATGATGATTGCAGTCTAAATCAATTCAGGAACTGATTGAGAAGAGCTCGAATATAATTGGAACTGAATCTGTCTCAAGTCGGCCTAAGAGTATATATACTTATTATAAGTGGTGTAGAGTATAAAAATTGGAGTATATCAACGACTGCCTTGTTCATAGTGACGACCTTCAACGCTACTTCAAAGCAATACACCTTATTTACTCCCTAGTCTAAAAATCAGCAGTTAATACAAATGGCCCCGTTAAGTAACCAAGCCCTTTTTATATTAGCACTAGAAGGACCACTAGTGGGCCAATTTAATCTTTTTCAACTTCCAAGCTTCAAAAAGATGGTTATAAGACGTGCAGAGTTTTGGAAATATTTGGTGCTCTTTACTTACCAGAACAGACCTTTAAAATTTGATAATCAATTTTTTTTTGCCTGGTGTACTTTCCAAGGTGCCGAGTATATATGGCTGTTCCTTCGGGAAAAAGCTAACTTTTAGCGAATTTTTCCTTTTATTTTTGCTTTAGTCGCGATTGTGGATTCGTGAAATTCTGGAAAACCTACATATTTCTTCAGTTCGATTAAAACCCCTTTTTCATAAATATTGCTGACAGTATTAGATTTATTAATTTCTTCATAAAAATTATAAAGGACTGTCCTAAAATGTCCTATAAGCAAGCTTAACCATATTCTTCCTCTTCTGCGAGTCAGCAAATCAACAACAAATGATCCACTTTGCTGAGTAAAAAATGCCTACCGTTTAGGTAAATTCTACGCCAATCGCGTCAACGGGGCAGTTTGATTAAGGGGCAGCTCTGATTTGTAATGGAATTATGTAACCTGCAATTAGTGCCTTCATGTGCATTAGAAAAATATATATATATATACCTATATGATAAATAATAATACTGTGGTTGTGTTTTTCAGTAGTGCCTATAAAGACTGCTCAAGATTGTTGTTAAGGCCACGGTAACATTATTACCTGAGTATATAAGAATAGCGGCTACCATGTAAGAGTCCACGGAGCCAAATCCCTGTGCGATTGAATTTACTTTAGTTGTAGGTGTAGCGGGTGCTCGATCGGTAAAAGCATAACACTTGGCAATTTTGGCCACACGTCCACTAAGCAGCGACCAATCGCTATCTATTTCTCTTTACTCGCTCTTTTCCGCCTGTCACCATATTACACGAAGAGGAGACATTCCCTGATTAATTAGTTGTATGTTACGATATTAGTAATAACTCCTGAGTGACCGATCATAAGAAAAAAGAAAAGATAGCGTTTTGACAATTTTTTTTTTTGCATAGAAGGAACGATAATAGAATAATAATATCTAACGAGGTTAATTAAAAAGGCGCATCTTTAAGAATTAAAGAAAGAAAAAATAATTTTTGAAAAATATTAAAAAACTGTCATCACCGGATACATTTTCGCGAGGCACTGTCAGTGCAAAGGTAATCTGTGGCAAACAGTGTAACTGGTCCAAATTTGAATTTAAAAAAAAAAAAATCATTTAATCTACCTGTGAAACACTTAGGACTTTTTGGAAATATTCACTTACGTACGATTAGCGAACGTTTGGATGAAGATGATCAAATATCGATCAAAAGGAAGACAATTTTGTTAAAGAACAATTAAGAAGTCTATAGGGGGACACGGCCCGTGATTACATATTCTTTACGAGTTCGCTTAATACAGCTACTGGCATGATGACTTTTCAAAATAAGGCGTTATATAGCAAATGGTTGAGAAGGTTGTCCGACCCGAATCACGGACATTTTTCGACAAAATTGCGTCAACCATTGGTTGTAGCGTTGCTTTGTGATCATTTCATTTGGTGAGAACAAATTTCGAGTTCACCATGCTCTGCCGAGTCGCCCAAATGGGGCCGGCAGAGGATCGCCAACGTTAATTGTTCGCCTACTCTGCCTACTCGCCCTATTTGGGCTTCGGATGTCGTAACCCATTCACTAGGCGTCACTCATAAGGGCTTGAGACTCCTATCCCTTGAATTAAGCAGGAAAGGCAAAGTTTCGCATAGAAGTACACATATTCGAGTCTTCAAGAAACACCTCCGTGCAATAACTTATACAATTGAGTGGAGCTTAGAGACAGTATGTATTCAGAAGATGAGGTCGCACCTTCACGCTATTTCTAAAAAGCGTTAGGGTATCCGAACTTCGTTGAAAGTTTAAGATGAATAATGTTTTATTTGTGTTTTCGTCTTCGAAAACTTGTAGCAAAGCACTTCATATATAATTAAGGTTATATTTTCTGATATATTTACGAGCATTATTTAAAATAATTTTTATTACTATTGTTCTTTACTTAATTTTAAAACATTCTTTGTTTCACTTTAATTAATCACATCCTACTTATTGTTATTAAGTGTTACTGCTTGTGTTTAAGTATGTGTTGCCAACTGAGTGCATAGCAAGTGTGATAAGATTAGAATGGAGAAGAAAGAAATATATATATATATATATATATATGAAAACAATAGCATAAAGTTTTTTAATTACACTAAATACCACACTAACAACAATAATAAAAATAAAAAAAATACATAAAAAAAAAAGTTCAATTAGATTAAAAGCTAAGTTTTTTCTTATTTTTTTTTTTTGTTTTCTTTAACACAAAAAATAGGTTAAGTGTGTTATTTGTAAACAATTTTTCTATATAGATGTTTATACAATTTGTTTGTTTTTTATAGCCACCGCCGGCAAATGCGAGTATACTTAGTTTGTCAGCGCGGCTGTAGCATCTGCATAACTAAGTCGACTAACCCATACTGAGTATCTTCTCTTCAAAGTTCGATTTTTTATTTATGCTTCGTTACCCTAGGAAGCTTACGTACTTCCATTATCGCCTGTGTTTGTTTATTTCTGTAGATTGAATTTGACAATGGGCTAAATTTGCTTACAATTTCACTCGTAAGCTCTTCTTCTTCCGCAAACAAGGCCACTGTAAATTTTTAAAAAAATTAATTTTTTTTTTTTCGACTCAAATGAGCCCTTGAACAGCAGCCATGGCATTTTGGAAAGACAACTGCGACCGTGGTTGGTTTTTTGAAGATCATTTTATGGCTGTATGTGTGCACTTGACACTTTAAACGCGTCTTTCTCAAAGCACTATTTCCAAAGCTGGCCCAAGGGATTAACATTTGAATTTCCAATCGCTTCCTTCGGAATTTTTCCAAGTATCTTCAATAGTATATTTACTCCACCCGCCAATTTGAGGGGATTTTGTTTTTAAAAATGCAACATAGGCAAGCCATTATGTTTGGATTTTATGTATGTTGGTTTGTAATGCCTTTTAATTCCAATTTATTTCCCGTTTACTCCAACGTTCGTTGAATCGGATTTTATTATTCATTTTAATTTATTTATTTATTTACTATTAATTTTGATGAACCGATTGGACTGAACATGAAAGCGATCCTAGCGAACATCTACATCATCAAAAGTCTTGGAAGGTATCTTCATGGTATCGAAAGTTATAGACGAAAAAAAGAAAAAGCTCTCGATATTTTCCGAGGTTGTTTTAATTTCTTCTGCCTTGTCTGCAAACAAATCGCGGTCACTGCTTAATTTCGTATTCTTGATCGATCAAGGAATATTTATGCTAAATTTCAGCTTCCTATCTGCACTTTCGCGACTTTAATGTTTCACAAAGGGGTTCCGTAAGTGTAATGCTAAGACGAAGTTTGGCAAAAAAGTGCATAGGAATTTTTTCATAAGTTAAGTTAAATATGTTTTATTAATAAAAAATATCCGCAAGATTAGGCGAACAGTTACGAATGGCGATTACCAAGCCGTGTTCGCGCGCTCAAATCTCAGTTACTGTGATTCTATCTTTCGGCACTGACTGTAAAAATTGTTTAAGAGGTAAAGCTACTGCAACATGGGTAATCGAATATATAACAATTGGCCCCTATCAAGTGAATCTTCGCAGGTTCAAATCTCTCTCAAAGTGCAATCGAGTTTGCATTAGTCATAGCTGTAGTGAGCGCTCAGTTAGCAAAGATATGACACTTACCGATTGGCATGCTGTCGTCTTCTTCCCTATCTCCTTCTCACTATTGGCGCATTACGCAAACAAAAGACATCCCCTGATGAATTGATTATATTAAAAATATAAGGATTTTCAGGAAATCCTAGGCATTTTGGATTGAATGATTTTTTTTTAAATTAAAATTTGCACCACTAGTGACTTAGGACGCAGAGCACCTTAAACAGAGAGTGTGTTACGAGCTCGCAGGAATACCTTCGATGGTGCTATCTTTGAAATATTTTTTAACCCAAAAAAAAACAAAATTTTGTTTTAGCTGTTCTACTGGTCTTTTCTCCTATATCGAAAAACGGTTCAATTATGTCGAAAAGGAAATTTTCTAAAATGTTAAGAAAGTAATAAAAGCGCTTGATAGTTTTCGCTTTCTTCTGTTGACTTTTTGCAAAAAAAAAAAAAAAAAAACAAAACTAAGAAAAATGGGCGGGAAATCGAGCAATTACAAGGACTAACACATAATTACAGGATGAAAGACGGTGTTCGCGACTTATTTTGAAAACAATTTGTAAAAGGACAATTTGCTTAATGTAAAGGGATAGGTGAATTTTAATATTCGAAGATGCGGAGTTCAGTTGGTTGGCATAAATAAAATTCATTTTCAGTAAATAGTTTTTTGAAATTTTAATAAAACCAAAACGTTGACAACCCATTGCCTACAAAACTAATATCTAAGGAAGATTGTTAGAAAAGGGAATTTCAAGTTAATGCCGTACAGTAGACGTTCGCTTTAAGTTTAAGTTTAAGAGCTCAATTAACAAGAAATTGACAGATTTCCATACATATATATATATATTTTAAATGATGGGTGTTTAAAATCCATGTTAAGATGAATTTGGTTTGCTTACTTATTATTTCATATACAATTTTTTTCTTCTTCTTGCAGATTGTGTAGATGTGTTATGCCCTTCTTCTCTTAATTTTACTACTACGACTACTATTCAGCCGCCATCTGTTCCAGTCTCTAAGTGTTTATTACTGTTTTTTTTTTTTTTTTTTCTTTATCCATATATTGAGGTATGTATGCATGTGTGTCTTTCAACAAATAGATAGCTATGTATTTATGTTTGTTCGTGTTTTTTTTTTTTCTTTTGTAAGCTGTTGTTCGCCTATCTGTTTATGCAAACTGCTTTAGTTAAACAATTTCGTAAAAAAATTTCTTTTTCATATTTTTTCATTTTTTTTTTTTTTTTATTTCTTGACGGTTAAACACCGAAATAAAGCTGAAAAATAGAAAAGAAAGACATAAAAGCTATCCATGTCAATATGTATTCAGGGGTTTATTGAGTTTTACGCTGAAAGAAATTTTGTGCTAAAGCAATAAATAAAGAAATAAAAAATATTTAGATCCATATGTAGCTTGCAGTAAAATTTGATTACTCGAATAGTTGAACATTCCGTTCAAACAAGGAAAAAACTAAAAGTGGGGAGAGATCAGTACATCCAAACATCCGAACTTTCTGTTCGCATTGAACCTTTTCTGCCCAGCTTGATACGCCAAGCGTTGCTGATTTGTCCTTCTGTTCGGCCGATTGTCTTCTTCTGACTATTGGTGTCGAACTTGAGTGATTGCTCTAGAATGGGAAAATGAAGAATTTCTCTTTCAATTTTTCTAAACTTTGAATTTTTTTTTAAACTGGAATCCGTTAGGCCCTTGAAAAGGGTAATCTGGTAATAGTGAATAGGTGAAGGGGCCGGCAAAGTTCCACATAAACGCTCGTTGGTATCCTGCCTTCCCAAAGAGGATATTGTATAAAGTAAAGAAATGCTGAATGCATTAAACAATCGCTTCAGGATGTATTGTTCCGATGACTGGGAAAAAGTCGCTTCGATAGAGTGCGGAAGACGTAATTCTTCAGAATGGTATAGGAGGCGTAAGCATGCGCTGTGCTACTTGCTTTAAAGCAATGAGTTGGATAAGACCTTGGCGTTCCCTGCAATTTTACAGAACTACACAGAAGCTCTACGATTTAACTCATCTGGTTCACTTCGTGTGTACGCTAGACTAGAGAGGCGCATTCTTCAGAAGGGCACGCCTAAGTAAAACTATGACGATATAAATTGCTATCCCCCCCCAGTCTAATGTAACTGACTATAATTTGCGGAGCATTCCATATTTGAATAAGTGCGTGGGAAGATGTGAGGATTCCGTTTTGATATTCCAAAGGAATTTTCTTACAAGCTGTAGGAATTTTTCGCAAAAAAATTTCTTCTCCATGTACTATTTACGCACGTATGTTGTCTCTATGGGGTAGATATGTTTAAATTTTTTTCTTCGCACACCGCGCAGCGAATCATCATCTCTTGTTGACTCGCTGAACACTCAAGAAGAAGAAGAAGAAGAAGACGTTTAAAAGTTTAACATGTGTTTAGGTGTTAGATTTTTTTCTGAAGCGTATATGTGCTTACCATCCTTTTTTTTCTTCTTTTTTTAACGAAGAATGTGAACAATTTGTGTCGACAATACTTGCCGCACTTGTGTCCATAAAATAGACAATAAACAATTTCTCTTTATCAAAGTAAATATTGTCAACCTATTTATAGTTGTTATACAAATTTTCGTATGTGTTTCTGTATGTTTGCTTAGGGAAGATTCAAGTAAACAAGTAGAAACAAATGACATGTGAGCAAATATTTGATACTCTCTGTCATACGTTTTTTTTTTCATTATAAGAATAATCTCAATTATATAACTAAAAAGTGGTTAAACTATTTTATAGTTTTTACGCCAAAAAAGAGGGGAGAATCCTTTGGTTTTAAAGTCGCCGGTATATTAAAAAAGAAAACTTACAATGTCGAAAAGTGTCAGCGCAATTACAGCAGAACTGCCGCATAATGGCTCCTGCGCACCACCAATACCGAACAGTAATCCATCTGCTAGTTTGCCGAGTCATTGTTCTCTTCTTCAAGAGACCGCGGAGATGCAACATTTAAATGACCGTCTAGCCGCTTATATTGATAGAATGCGTAATCTCGAAAACGAGAATGCTCGGCTGTCAATGGAAATGCAAACCGCGCGTGATAATGTGACGCGTGAAGGCGATTACATAAAAAATATATATGAGAGCGAATTGAGCGATACTCGTCGTGCGCTTGATGGAATGGCGCGGAACAAATTGAAATTGCAAATTGAATTTAAACGTCAGTGTGAGCAGAATGAAGAAATAAAAGCAAAATTGGATAACAAAACCAACGATTGTAGTATTTTCAAAGCAAATGCCCGTAAGCATAAGTTACGTGCAACCGATTTGATTGCAAGATATAGCGCTTCGAAGGTTGATCGTGAAAAAGCCATCGATGAGCTAACCGAGCTACAGAAGGAACATGATCGTTTGCGTAATATTTTGAATGAAACGCGTGAAAATGTTCAAGAAGAAACTTCGACTCGGGTGAATTTGGCGAATGCTGTACAAATTTTGCGTGAAGAACTCACTTGCAAAGACCAACAGCATAAACGAGAGGTTAGTGAGGCTCGATCGCGTCGTCAGATCGAAATCGATAAGATCGGTGGTCACCTTTCTGAACAATATGAAGGAAAATTACAACAGTGCCTTCAAAAACTACGCAATCAGTACGAGGCACAAGTGCAAGCTAATCGTGATGAAATTAAAAAAGTGTACGAACATGAGATGAAAAATCTTCAATCGGCAGCAGCACCCAATAAAGATGCAACCGACACTGCTAGGAAGGAATTACGTTGCGCTCGCGAGCGCTTTGAGGATCTTACTATGCATGTTACTAAATTGGAGTCAATTAATGCTGATCTTCATTCTCGTATACGAGAAAAGGAGCAGTTATTAGATGATGAACATGATCGCCATATTGCTGACAAAGCTACTTTAGAAGCTGAGCTGCAACGTTTACGCGCTGAAGTGACGCATCAATTACGGCAACGTCAAGATCTTATGGACATTCAGGTTTCATTGGATTTGGAGATCGCTGCTTACAACAAATTTTTGTGCGGCGAGGAATCTCGCTTGAATTTGGCGCCTATCTCAGGCGGTGCGGCGATCGGTTCTCCAAACCAATCCTTAAGTTTCTCGCGTGGTGTCAAACGTTGCAATTCACCAATGACTGATGCATGCCCAGCTTCGATAAAACGTACACGCTCAGAGATAGATGAGTCGGAAAGTGTTGCCTCGGCATTGGATGACGAAATTAATGAAAATATGTGTCATTCACAGGTTGGTCCCGATCAACAAGTTATTGACGAGAAATGTCGTTTTATGTAGTTCTACAATAGATTTACTTTTGTTCGCTTTCGCGATATGATTTAAAATTTGAAAATTCTTTAAAATTTTCTACAAATTTCCACCAAAGTTTTGAGAGATGAAGTAAACAAGAATTGCTGGACATTGTGTACCTCATACACTACATCTTTTATCCTTAAGTTTTTCTACGTTATTCTATGTAAATTCCTTAAGATCTAGTCTTCTTCTGAAAGTAATCTCTTGTCAATACGCACGATGCAGAATAAAATTGGAAGTAAGTCGAAGCATGTAACAAAAAGCGATCCACTGAAAAATGAATGAAATATTCTCCCCAAAGCAGATTGAGCTTTGAGAAAGAGTTCGCTTTTAGTTTACAGACACTAACAGCGCATTAGTCTAATTTTGGTATGCTTGATATTCTCTTGAGATCGAAATAGTGGAAAGCCTGAAACTGTCTATCCGGAAAGCAGTCAACTTGATACAAGGATTTTCAAGGGTATTTAAACTCTGAGAAGCTATGGGTGAAATAAGTCGGCCAATATGGTAGTAATAAACAAAAAAAAAAAAAACTGGAGCTTTCGTCTTCGGAAAACCCTTTCAAATAGTCATTGTCCTTGGACACACGCCCGCAACCATCGCTCTCCGAGGACGAACGAAACGAAAACTATCTGGAAATTAGCCTTTAAACGTAGTATACATTTTGGGTGGACGAGTTGGCCATATTTAACATGTTTTGGAAGAGTATCAAAGTTTCGTCCCGAGTTGAATGTAAATTTTTAATTTTTACTGTTTTTAAGAATTTATTAATGCGCAGGCGTGTTGTTTTCTTTTTTTTTTTTCTTTTAATTTAGTCACGTACATCACGTTTTCTTTTTTCTATAAAAATATTTATATCGCTGCTCATCAACTAATTGTGGCAAATGAGGAGTATTTTCGAAGGAGGCGAACACAATTTTCATAGGCGTATCCAAAATTTCTCAATAAACTCTTCTATAGAGATAAGCATGGCTGGTTTTCCTTTGTGTGGTTGCTTAGTTGACTGTTGGAATCAGGCGTAAATGCGAACAATAAATATAGTGAGCATTTTACTCTTCGATTAAGTTATGTTACGGACGTACATATTCTTTTTCTTCTTCTTATTGCGGGTCAGGAAATCAACAACATTCGATTCACCTTGTTGAGTAGAATATGTTCACACAAGGTGAACACAAGATACTTTGTTGGAACCTCAATAAATTTGAGTGCAATATATTTCTACACACACATTGTGCATATCAAATATGTCGTAGCATGTCACGTTTATTATGCTGTAAAGTATTCTCGAGAGTTGAAATGTTTTCTATAGCTTACGAACTATTTACTAAAATCGGTAAAAATGTGATTCTGCTTCTGTAGCTGATTTTTTTGTATTATTTTCATTTCACACCAAAGGCAGCTTTTAAAGCATGGAATTGTCTTATATAATGAGTATATCTATATTAAGCCAGGCAAAGTCAGGTATTAAGCAAAATTATGACAAAAACTTACTGTTTAGTTCAAAGCCTTTTATTCTCGAAGGCTCAACAGGACACACGTACATGTCCTATGTGTCTTATTGGGAAAAGAAATGCTGGAAACTAAGACTCGGAATATAGTGAGAGAAAAAAATAAATAGGACTCTCACTACTTTAGGTTTAAAGCTAAAATATATTGAAATCGGAGCAAAAAGCTTTGGAATGATGAAAATTAAATCATTAAAATCAAACTTGGTGACCAAATCAGTTACTGGCCAGTAGCTACGTGAATTAAGAAATCCATTACAAGCTTATTCACAAATTAGAAGGGAGATTCACCCATCTACTCGATATATCGATCGTATAATATGTTCTCCATTTCCTGTGTATCTCAAATCATATTTTTCTGCTATTGCTCAGCACTTTAGAGATGATTTTTTTTCTTTTTATAGTCGTTCCCATGATCACACAATCTCTGCCCTCCCGATCGAGGGGCGGATCATCTTCGTGTAATCTGCTGACGGCGAATCGAACACTACCACCCACAACATGAGCTATCTTTTCAGGGGCAACAAGATCGATATAGAAATCAAGAAAATTGCACGGCTATGTGATGCGGATGCGGTTCGCGTATGTGCATGAATAATTTACCCGCTTAGAATGTGTAAGCACGCAACGTTTTCAAGCAAATATCGCTCGAAGCCGCACTGCCTTCAGTTAAAAAACGCCACTCAAGCTAGGGTGAACCTTATACGCTACATTGCTTGGAAAAGGCTTGTCCACGTAAGCACCGTTGCTTATCGTAGCAAAATTTTCTTTTTAAAGCAAAATTCACTATGGGTGGATCATATATGGCAGCGGCAGCAAATTGAATGCAAATATTTTGACGTCAGCTTATCATCAAGCGATTAAAACTAATACAAATTCATTTTCTGATTCTTTTCAAGTTTGTCTGCCCATCTGTCCGTTTCATTTTCTTGTGTTTCATCTACCCCCCCGGCGCCATTGTTTTACAAGCAGGTTAAGTTGATTCATTCAAAGGATTTCGAATCGATTGATATGACAAACGGTGGGTCAATCACCTTCAGGTTAACTTTACAACAATTGCGGTAGGCTATAAAAAGCGTAGCATGCAAAACCATTCGTTTTTAAGCTGAATAAAATTTCTGTTTATTTGTTTTTGTTTGTTGATCGTTTGAAACGAAAACAAATCACATCTGAGGTTAATGTTAAAATATATCGGTCGGCTAAAGATATCGAACCATTGTTTTTCTTCATTTTTTTTTTTTTTTACTGCCAATATTGTATATACGTACGTATATATGTTATGTATAAACATGTATTAGATAAGTTATGTATTTAGCACGAATATATTCTTATGTTTATTCTCTATTAGATTATTATGCAAAACATGCTGGTCAACAGATGTCAAATGCTGTTGTCGTCAACGTTACTTGACTTTAATTAAATTAATTGATACAAATTTGTATAGTTTACCAGCCAGCATCTGATAGATTCAGCTGATGTTGGACGATACAACGACCGTAAGAAAAGTTTAAAGGAACAGCGTTACAATTACTTTATATTCCACTCAAATGATTACCGTTAAGCTGACGTGATTCATGTCTAAGCTATCAGTTAATGCGAAAGTTATATTTGTGCCAATTATTAGTTCTTTAATTCTCTGCTTTTATGTGCAGACCGAGCAGAGAGAGAGAGACAGAAACAGCAGCTGATGATAAGACTACGTCTACCGATTACGGTACTCTTTTGGATTCGATTTGCATATTTTGCACGGATTATCGTATAACAAATTAAAATTTATTAATTCTTAAGTTTCTAATGGCTTTTGAAAGTTTTTTGCTTCTTTCGTGACTGCTCTTTTTTTTTTTTTTTTCTTTCCTATCTATCAGTAAGAGAAGATGACATGCTAAATAAAGTATCATGTTTGTAACATAAACACGCAGTTATGTCAAAAACATTTATATTTTCTCGGTCAGTCAAAAACTGAAAGTCTTCAACCACTATCAACAATCATTTATTTCTTGATTTCTCTCTCTGTGCGCTTCGGGATAGTTCGGTTTTCGTTTTATGACATTTTTGGCTGTTGCCGTGTTTGGAAAAAAAAGGAAAAAACTACATAAAATCCAGTGTACATACTAAGCAGTTCTTTTATCTCCAATGGGCAACAAAACAGTCGGCATAACTTTAAAAGTTGGTGCCGTTCGTTGGTGGTCATTAGATACCTAGGGGGATCGCGTTGAGCATAGATAATGTTAAGTTTGTTAATTCAATTGAACAGAATTGTGCTTTGAAAATGGGGCAAAATTAGAAAAACATCTACTCTTCAATCTCACATCAACGGGGACGAAAATGTTTGTTAGGAAAAAATTCGTGGCGTTTCCGGAGCAGATACTTTGTCAAAAGCAGTAGCCTGCAAATGCCACGTTCGCTTCCGATGGCGATTTGGTCGGCGAATCTATGATTAACTCGAACAAATTTTCCAAAACAAAGCGAAAGGTCAAGATGTTACGTTATGACGTCGTTGTGGAGATAAACGTTGATTACGAACCAGTTTTGAGCGCTTTGCGTAAGGTTGAATACTAAAGAAAGTTCAGAATTTCCATCAGCAAGTCATTGCTGAAGCGAAATCAAATCAGGCCACTTTTGAAGAGACTAATAACAGTGAAAGTGCTCGGCAAAAATGAGCAACGCCCAAAAGTGCCTTGTTTTGCCATCAGCCATTCATATACTAAAATTCTTAATTATGGTTAATCAATGGGAAAGGCATTGTCTTCCGATGTAGACCATATTCATATTCAAAATGGGGAGAGCTTTCCTCGGGAGTATATTTGCATTTCATACAACAAAGGGGACATACAAAGTTTTCTTGTGTAGCATCGTTACAAGAGATGAAAAGTAGATTTTTTTATAGAATGTCAGGCTTCCGGGTGGATATGGGCAGACCAATCCACATCTATCACAAGATCGCATCACTATAGCAAGAAGATGATACTCCGTGGTTGATGGAATGAAATGGCCTTTGGAATGGAATCGAAAATGATGTGGCCTTTTAAAGTGTAGTAAGACGATCAGCACTAGTACCGAACGCTACGATCAACAAATAATCGATTTGAACGCTTCGTTTCGCAAAAAACAATGCCAGCAAGTTAAAAAAAAAAAAAAGCAGCAGAACATGAGGACTTTTTCACTTATCATCTCTCCACCCGTTTTAATTAGAAAATCGGTTCGTTATATCTTAGAAACGCACAACGACGGAGCGCTTATTCAAGCGTCTTACCTATCAGGGACTAATCTGTCCGATTATTGCTGCGGCTTGCGACAAAATAGGAAGATTTTTAAAAGCTTAATATTCAAAAATTGTTAGAGTGATGGAGAAAATGTGTTGTTAGCCATGGAAAATATTTCGGGTAACATATTTTTTATCATCTTGATGCAACAAATCAAAAAAACCTCATCTTTTATTCTGAAAATCGGCGGCTGATTGTGCCCGCTTTCACTCAATATTGCAAAGTACGAAAGCTTAGTTCCTTCGCTTTTTTTTTAGTTTTTTTTAGCATAACAGTGATGCACATAAAAGATTCGGTCACGACCGAATACAATTTTCTTACTTTTTTATATTACTTACAACCCATGCCTTCGAGTCCAACAAAATCATTTAGTTATAAAATAAAAAATTGAACAGAAATAATTGCTTTTTCATAAAAATATAAATAAAAATTTATTTGCTGTCATCAAATCCATCAGGCAATTGTTGTT